CATTACAGACCATCAGAACAAAAGCACCCTAACAGGGCTCTGCACAGACTCTCAGCTTGAGTCATATTTAAGCAAGAAAAGTACAGGGGATTTTTTTTTCCCTTTTTTTTCTTTTGCCAAACTGAAATTTCCCAGATCCTGGGTTAGTGGGTTTGATCCTGCTATCACCATTTCCCACTACTTGGGTGAAAATTACTGCAACATGATTTCAGTAGTTCTCGTGATCAATGAAAGCATTTAGCTGGATCCACACAATTCTTCTGGTGCTAGAATAAAATATTTAGTAAAACATTTGAATAGTCCAATATCTCACCTAATACTGAAAAAGAATATTTTACAGGAATGACAGAGTGTTTGAAAAGAAACTCCCTACTCAAGTTTGTTGTGAGAACAGTGCTAGAATGATGTCCAAAACAAACAGCAAAAGTGGGCAGTAGTGGCTGATACCCGAATTTTTCTCTCCTGATTTATCCTTTGTCTTGCTGGTTAAAATACAGCTGAAAATGACTGGGTGAAAAAGACAGCTGGAAAATGCTCTTAGCACCAACAAAACAACCAGGGATGTCTCTGATATTCCTCAGAAATAAACTCCTCCATCTATATAACAAACAAGCCTTATGAAAGTGAGCGCGAAGCTGCCCTCCTCCCATGGGCAGCACTCTTCTTGCTGTCCTCCCCACTAGATAGCTGTGGATTCAGCTCTTATCATGGCTTGCCTAGAAGCAGCGGCAGGTGGGTGCCTATTACAGATAAGGCCCATAAAGCTCACATGAATTCACTTTCCCACATTCCTTCTCTTCACTGATTCATCACCCCAAGAATCTAGGTTTTTCCCACAGCAGACTGCCTGCTACATTGCCAAAACACAGCCCTCCAGAATTAGAAACAATCAGACAAATATATTAAAAACCATCATTCTCCCTGTGTATTCTTGATTGACAGCCCTGGAAACTAAATTTCTCAGTCTTCAGAGAAAGTATTGCTTGAGAAGTAGCAGCCATAGCCCAAGGCTGTCTCTTAAAGTAGCCCGGTGGTGATCTAGAGATCACTAAGGTTGGAAAACATCATCAAGATCATCTATTCCAACCATCAACCACTAAACCATGCCCCTCAGGAAGTAGCAGGATAAGCTGACTACTGCCTGCTCTCTCATTAAAGAAGGATGCTAATTCTAGGTGCTTTTGATAGGATGCACGTTCTTCCCTTAAGAACATGTCTCAGAAGCTCTACTAACATGTAAAAAGCCCAAATCAATGCATACAGGCTTTCTATAAATGCCACTTACCGCTATCCAAGTTAGAAACAGATTTTTCAAAAGGGATCACTCCTCAAAACCACTTAAGAAACATCATAACCAGAATCAATATGTTGTAGAAAATAAAAGATTAGGTTGGATGTTAGGGAATGCTTGTTCTCCAAGACAGTGGTTGGTCAGGCACCGAAACAGGCTGCCCAGGGCGGTGGTTGAGTCACTGTCCATGGAGGTATTCAGGAACTGTTTAGGTGTCGCACTGAGGGACGTGGTTTAGTAGGGAAATACTGATGGTAGGTGAACGACTGGACTGGAAGATCTTAGAGGTCTTTTCCGACCTTGGTGATTCTGTGATTTTATGATTATATTTATATATTGTGTGTTTACACAGTTTAACCTAAAGATTCTTGCTGTCTTGGAAAACTTTTATTTCTCTCGACTGCACTGATAAAATTCAGTCAAAATTAAGTACCCAGATTTAGCAGTATTAATGGAGTGATGTTACTGTGCATGTCTCTCTGGTATGCTGGGTATAGCCCCTCTCAAAACAGGAATGCAGGAAAAAACCCTGTAGCTTTTTCACAACCTTTTATGGGGTCTTTTATATAAATAACAGCCCTTGGAAGCAGGTTTTCTGTTTGAGAAAGAGTTCCCTGGGCAACTTGTTTGGACATAAATCACGACAGAAGAAAATATCTTCTAAGCTTTTAAGTTCCTTAATGTATATGTAATACCAGAGATATGGGGAAAAGGTGACAGAAAATACTTGTGGGAAAATATTTTACATCAAAGATAAAGTTAGCTGTTCCCTCACTTTGTTAAGATAAAAATATTTTCTGTCAATAAACAGTGATGCTAGCAAGGCAGTATTTGGCACCGCCCAATGTCTCTTGTTTTTATGTAGTGTACAGAAGTCTCCCTAAAAACTAAGAATTTCTGGAAACAAACTGAGAGTTCACAAAAGCACAAAAGCTCATTTTCAGGTAAATTCATGTACTGAGTCAATTAATAAATTTATTAATATGGCACTATTCACATCAATGTAGTTCAAATGCGAACTACAGACTGAGTTTTCAGCCCCTAAACAGTCAGTTTTCAAAATGATTCAGCAGGTGACCTGCCAATTCTTCCTAAAAACACAGCCTCTTTGTTTTGGTTACTTGGTGCTCACCTCTGCTTTGGAAGGCTTTCCCTAGCAGAAGTACACCAGAATTTCCTTTTGCCTCAGCATATTCTAAACTTCGATTTGATAGCGGTTTCTCATTTACAAATTCAATTTGTGAACTTAATCAGTACTCTTTGAAATTAGAATTAAAAAGTTGAGGCTGAAAAGCACTGGATTTATGTATTAAGTTATAGAAGGAGAATTATTTGAATAACCTCATTTTCCCCCTCCACACCACTGTGGAGAGGGGACAGCCACTGAGGCACTCAAAAATAAAAAGCAGCATGCTTGCCTAACAGATTAGATGAAAGCATAATTTAGTTAAGGAAGTAGATTCCAGTTTTATGTTTCATGGAGGCTAGTATAAACAACTAGGGGAAAAAAAAAAGCAGTTTTTAAAGACTCATTACTACAATCTTGGATTTCTTTATTATTAAAGGCTGAAATAATGAGAAATTAACTGTGCTGAGTTTCACCCATGTAGTAACTGGGGGAATAATTGAGATGGGTGGAGTTGTTTGAAAGCACCAAGAAAACCATTTTTTGGGTTTGATTATCAACCCTCGGGCTGAATCATAACAGTTGTAAACATTCAGAGCCCTTCTTGTCATAAGAAAATAATGCTGTTTTATGGAAATGAGTAACTTTCTTTATCATAATGGTCTGTTCACACATAGGGTAAATATTTTTTCAATTCATTTAAAACAGGATGTGCTCCTTTTGAAGGCACATTGTAATATTTTTCTTTATGAACAGCTGTTCTAGATTGAGGCTAACATATAAGAGAGTATAAACAGAGTATAAACCACGTAAAGCTCACAGTGAAGCCTGAAAAGGAAGATGATTCCTACCTTGAAATCATAAGCTGGAATAATTTTCAATTTACTGTCAAAAAGCAAAAGCTTCATCATTATCTTACTGTAGTTTTTTTGAATTCTGTGTTCCCAAGGTTCTCTGTGAAGGTAGATGTCAACAACATTTCAGCAATGACTGAACAATTTGCTTTATATAGTACTGTTTGGGGTTGGATTTGACAGAATTCTGCAACTACTCTGAGAGCAGAATTTGTTTTTTCTTTATTACAAGTAATTGGAGCACTACTTCAGAATCATAGAATCACCTGAGTTGAAAGGGATCCTTAAAGACCATCCAGCCCAACTCCCCTACACTGAACAGGGACACTGACAGCTTCAATGGGTGCTCAGAGCCCTGTTCAGCCTCACCTTTAGTGTCTCCAGGGATGGGGCATCCATCACCTCTCTAGGCAACCTGTGCCAGTGCCTCAACACCCTTTGAACGTTCCTATGGGAAACGTCTGTCCCTTTTTGACAAAGGGAAAAAAGGAAACAGAAAAATGGCTAGGCTGATCTTTGAAGAGGACAAGCAACCAGTGCGTACCTGCTTTGAAAGAAATTCTTTGGCATCTCTCAGTGCATGGTTTGATACCCTTGGGCATGGATGGGAAATCAACAAATACAACCCATCCATTGCCTACACTCAGTCCTACTTCAGGAGCTGCTATCTGAACAATAAGTCCTTTTACACTTATGTGCTAGACAAATCCGATACGGTAAGATTATCTCAAAAGATTTTGAAAAGACACCAGTGCTCAGAACTCAGGGCCATTGTGCTAAGCTAAGCACAGTGAGCAGGGCCAGGGTGAAAATGTAAGGTCAGCTGGGACATGTTCTTCCACTGATTGATTCAGTTAGGTAAAAGAGTTCTTTGGTTTTTGGAACACAGCTTGCCAACACTTGGTGCTACATCTTGTTCCTGATCCCTGGATGTCAAAGGCCCATTTTAAGAGTGCCGTGCAAAGCACACGTTGCTGAGGGCTTATCTGCTGCAGCTGGAACCACCAGTCCATTTAAGAACTTCTGGACTGGTATTAGCATCATATAGGGATATAAAGGCTCTGGGACAGTTGTTACTCATTGTTTGGACACATGTGGATAGTACTCATATCTTATTCTGCATACAGCTTAGTGGAGAAGGTCACAAACACTTCTACAGCTAAATGCCTGAAGAGAGAGGTCTGAAAAAGTATCCAAACGGTTTCTAGGGAAGTATAAGCCCTCCTTTCTGAACAATGCCAGCCCAGGGAGACTGGAAAACACATTTCTTGTGCATGTGTTTTGCATTAAATACAGCTGTCAAAAACAAGGAGGGCTCACGTTCCTGAAAAGGTGCAGCGAAGACGAACAGTTGGAATAAAGCATTAACAGGAATGTGCCTGCCCTGCCTAGGCAATAATCAGCACTTCCACAGACCCTCTGAAGCAACCTTTAAACGAGCTGGCTCACGGACTGGTAGCTGTCTAGCTGTGGGATTTCAGCGAATGCTGCACAAACCCAGCCAGCTCCTCAGAGATGCCAGTGCTTGCTGCACAAGCCACTCCTCTCGTCCCCAGAGCCAGATAGACAGTGGCTCTGCACAAACCGCACCTTCCCAGTGCTGCATCAACACATCCGGAGAGAGACTATCTTTAACCAAGCCTCCCCGTCCCTGCCATGCTGCAGATAATGCTTTCCAACTGTGTTGGCAATGAATTGAATCCATCTACTGCAATCTGATAATGCTTACCTCTCATCATTTTGCTGCGGTAAAATTATGGAGTTGAAACAGCAAAGGCAAAGTGCCTTTTTGTTTGCTTGATGATGATTTTCCTCTTATTCGATAGATCCAGGGTGAGATATTGTCCTCTGACCTAAGTATACATGATGAAGGAGTTCAGACTGACTTACAGCAGTGCAATAGCAGAATTCAGTTTACGATCTTCAAATGACAACATCAATCCACTGATTTGATCATTTCACTATAATATACTCTTTGTATTTTTTATAAAGCTCACATTCTACAATAGTAGTGTAACTGGGATTCAGTTGTGTGGCAACAGTGTACCACATAAATTAAGCTAACTCTGGGTAATATCACAAAAAAAAATGTGTTTATATCTTCATGCCAGTTTCTGACTAATGCTTTTGTTTGTTGCTATAGCAAACCACGCATGAATCTGATAGCCAAAAGCAAGTTTATGACTAACCTTAGCTCTCTGGGGATTGAAAATATGGAATAAAAACAAAATCCTCGCAACACAATGCGAGCAGAACATGATAGGAAACACCTTTTTTGGCACAAGCTACTATGAACATTAAAAGTGAAGAACATCAAGAATGGAAAACATTAGGAAATGGGAACTGTGGGAATAACCGGCTTTAACCCTCAGCAACTCAAACACAACTTTGATTTCACATTACAGACTTGTCAGTGTAGCACTGGAGTACACTGCAGGAAGTCCTGGCTGGATGTTAAGGGATGGATTTAAGCCTATGAAGTCTGGAGAAGCTTTGGATCACACTATAAAACATTCAGATCACTTTACTGAAGATAATTTTTACACTTTATCTTGACATCTAAGACAGTGGTATTCACTTAATTAATTTCTAGTACGAGTTATACCTCGGGAGTTTCCAAGAGCCTGTCCCAAGAGTGACACCTCATTGCACTGTACAAATACACAGTGAAAGAACACTGCTATCCCAATGAGCTTTTTCATCAAACTAGTGGGAAGAGCCAAAGGAGAGGACAGTGGACAGAGCATTGTGGAAAACAAAGATGAGAGGCAACGTGACTGTGCTACTACCAAACTAAGGATGAACGCAGGTGTCTTGCACCCCAGTTCACTTGCCTGATTCAGGTTGCCAAGCATGTTACTATGAGAAGAAAAATGCATGTCTACCCTGCACAGGAGAAAAGATCAGTGCAGTTAAAGTGATTCCTAATCTAGAATAGTTTACAGCAAATCTACATTACGCCAGGCAAAATTTGTATCTTTGCTCTGCATCTTCGCAAAATCTGTATCATTGCTCTGTAATTCTTAATAATTTCTCTCCTTCATGGGTGAAAAAAATAAATAAGACTATTGCTGCATAATGAACAGACACAGAAAAGATCGGTGTTTTCTGTTAATTACTCTGGCCCTACACTGCACACTGCATCTTTATTCACAGATTCTACTTTGAATAAAGACAGAATTATCACAATTCATGGCAAGTTCTCCCATCGTCTCTCCCAACACTTAATAGAGAAATGTGTGATTGTATACAGCTCTATGGAGAGGACAGTCTGACCAAGCTGTAGTGTTCCAGGCATTTTCAAAGGGATATTCACAAAAGCTATTCTGACCCATCAGTAGCTAAATGGATAGGAAAATGTCACAGCTGGAAGTCTACAAAACTCTGTAGGACTCAGATGATATCTGCTGGTCGTTTAGTATCACAGGATCAAATCATGAAGCACTCAGATTTCATTCTGTGCATACTCAAGGAAAACATCCATTGGCTTCAAAGAAACTATAGCATGCTCATCTTGTAAGATCATAAGCACAGATGAGAGGCTGCAAATCTGACTCATGCCGTGAATGACCTTTCCATCTGTAGTAACAGAAGGCATTGGTTACTAGTACCTATGGTAGGTATTTACACTGGTGCAGTGCTAAACAGTGCTACACCCTTCACTTTGGGCTCTCCAACAGCCCAGCTCTGGGGTACTGATCACCTAGCCAGCACTGTCTGATATAATGCACATACACATGCTGCAGCATCTAGTCATGGCCACCAAGACAGTCCCTGCACTTGCCCAGAGCACCTCAAGAAGGCGACCAGCTCTGCCTGCCTCACAGAAAGTGAGGTAGCAAAGCAAAAAAGTGACTTGCACAAAGTCACAAAGCAGGTTGGCAGCAAAGCCAGCAATAAATACAACCCAGATGTCCTGGATCCTACCTCCTCCCTGCACCACGCTGCATTCTCTGAGCTCAATGTTGAAAGGAAATGTTTTACATTTACTCATCCCTCCTCTTCCTTTGTCAATAGAAATAAAAGCAGGCATCTGACTGCCTAAGTTTTGAATACTCTAATGGTTTCCAATGCTTGTGATGAAGTCAGCCAACATTTCTATTGAATCCAGCCCTGATGGACAACGAAAACTGATTTCTCTGCCAACTTGCCTATCAGTGCAAAACTTGCCTAAGCACATATTATATAGATATGTATTGCATATACACATATTTGCAAAGAACTGCTAATTGCAAAAACACTGTAGTTGCAACTCAGCCAGCAAACACTTATCTACTATTTAAAAAAGAAGCAGCATCGTTATTTTTATAAGTACAAGTTTAGATGTAGGCTATGTACCTTTGTATTCTGTTGAAAGGTAGAGAATTTGACAGGACAATTCTTGGACTGAATGTTCTGGGTTCTGCTTAAAGATTGGTGGCTCATTAGTATTAATTTTCCATCTGTTTATTTTTTGAACAAAGTATACAACTGTTTAATATCAGGTCGCTGAACTACTTGTGGAGTCTGTGCAGAGGGCCAGTTCCATGTACTTTCTAAAACCAACGTAATCTAATTTCATGAGAACAAGTCGTGCCCTTCCAGCAGAATATCATGACCTCTTTCAGCCCAAGGTGAGTTCAGGTCTCTGAGTAGTTAAAAGCACACTATTTTTCATCCTCAAGGCAAAAGCCACTCTGTTTTTCCTGCCTGTATTTATAAAAGTCTGTCAGAGAGCGGTAAGTGTTGTGTTGCGTTGCCACAACTCTGCTGCCGGTGAGCTGCTGTGGCTACTGGAGGGGACCTCAAAGGAGCTGGACAGACGTCATGAGGAAATGCAGTGTTACATGTTGTGTCTGTCTTTCCTCCAAACACTCACGGGGCACGACTTGATAGTGGGAAGAAAAACTTCAGCAGCTGCAGTCTACCTAAGACATTAAGCTTCTTTTTGCAAGACTCCCTTTATTTCAGAAAACAAATGCACATTTTTGAAGCAAGATTTTGCATTCAGGTGTGCTGTACCAAGCTCACAGCATTCACGTGGCCATTCAGTGTGCCTGCACCACAAGCACTTTGCATGCACCCACTTGCTGGATTACAGCATCCTCAGCTTTGCTCCAACCAGCAGGGATTTATTATGACTGCAAATTTCTCGGATCTTCTAGACAATGAGACAAACCAAAACACAGCCCAAAAAAGCCTCTTTCCTTTCCCTGTAAATCTATTTCCTCATTCCTGCCACCCCTGTTTTGCTTGATTGGCTGGACACAAAGCTTGTAAGTCCTCTGAGACACATCCAGTAGGTGGCTATTTTTCACTTATTGTGGTGGGAACATTAACCTGCCATCAGCCTGCAGCAGCAATAAATGACAAGAATAAATCTCAAGAAACATAACTGGGTTGTGGCTTTTTTGTAAAACAATAGTCATTCTGACAGATTTGACTCTGCCTTCCTCCCAGAGGTGTTTGCTTCTGCAAACCCTCTTCAGAGCACAAAAGCGTCACTCCTCTCCAATGCACGTGCAGGCAGGTTAAGGACATTGCTACTTGCTGCAATTGGTCAGTGCCAGCTTGGCCGGTCCCAGCTCCCTCTGCCTGAGCGTGCAGGCCCTGGCTGTCCATGCCTGTATTTTTCAGGTGTGTCAGAGAGCTAAAAGCTTACCACAGTCCATCTCTGTCTCCTCACAAGAACAGAGCTAGCGAGTAGTTAGCACGTCTGTTTGTGCTGCTCCTGTTTGGGATTAGAGGATGATGGTTTTCCTTCCTTCTCCATCCCTTATCAGGTATTTAAAAAAAGAAGGATTTGTGGGAAGGAGAAAATGCTAATTGTCATGGGGTTTTTTTGTTTGTTTGTTTTTGGGTTTTTTTGTATCTCTTCTTTATTCTCTTTGCTCTGGTGCAAGGGGAAGCCCCTTGGGCTCATGAAGCTGTATCTATGTGTGCCGTCCTGCACTGCAGCACAAAGGTCTGCAGGCACTGGTACTGGCTGTGGCAGAGGAGCACACAGTGGGCTCCCCTGTTCCCAAATATATCTTTTTGCTGCAGTTTAAAGCATACAGTGTTGGTAAAGCATAAGCCTATACATTATAATTATGTAATTTATACCCTGTGTTGAGCTTTCCTGGCATAATCCAGTACAGTTATCCAAAAGCTTTTCTTTAATCTCTAAGGAGGTATAACTACAAAAAGAAATATTTTTTTTTCCTGCTATCTCTACTCAACCTATTCCATTCACAGATTTCGGTGAGACTGACTGAAAGGGTTGCTAAATCCACTGAGGACAGAGAATCCAAATATTGACTTAGATCACTGATTTCTGTGCTATTACTAAATGTGTTCCCCTCATGATAGATCTGTGTGGTTCTGCTTCCATGCAGCTCTGTATATCACAGAATAACTGAAATGTCCTCTTGTAAATACCGGTGTGTGAAATACTTTTCTCAAGTCTGTTTTACATCAAAGTTGATAATTTTCTAGACCAACACTTTCCCCAGAAGTAGTGAGTAATAGCCAGACCTATGAACACATTGCCTTTCACAACACCACCAGCACTCTGGCCATAGCAAGCATGACAAATTAGTTATCCTCATAACTGTGCACAATATTTGCATTGTAGTCATCCATCACCATGAGTACAAACCCTACATGTAGTCATTCTCACGAAGAAATGCCCACTTTGCCTCCAAAATGGGCTCTGAGTGACTGAGTTCACTTTAATTCAACACTGAGTTGTCCAAGCTATTTGTTGCACAAGTCATCTTTTTTCCCACAGTCAAGCCCATCATGTGAAAAAAGCCAACCTTGAGGAGGGTGAGGACACAGTTCGTATAAAAATCAATGCAACCTTTCACTAGAACATAAATCAGACACATTCTGGCATATATGAAAATATTTGGGAAATGTTTAATGACATTTTTGCATTCTTGTAAATTTTCTGCTTTGGGCTGATTTTAGAAATGGTAACAGGGAGAGCTCAGGTCACACCAAGGAATATCACCAATAGAAACCAGTAGCTTTCTCACATTAGTTTCACAGATCTCCAGCTCGTAAGCCTTCTGATAAACACACAGACATTTCAAGCAAACAAAAAGCCCGCAGCTTTTTGGATACTTATCTGACCTGAGGGTGAGCTGTTAACCTCTTTGAGGCTCACCAAAAGCAGTTTTCTAACTAATTCTCAACATTATGTCTAATACCTCTTAGGCATTTTGTCCCCTTCAGAATATAATGCCGACACTGGTTAAAGTAGTTCTTGCTATGTAGCAAGAACATCTTGGAATTCCTTTGAGCTTCTTTTTCGAGCTAAAATTCCCACTTTTCAGTTCATTGTCCCAAAAAATTCTGTCAAAGCTGGATCTTTGGATTACAATGAGAACAACGTGAGGCAAGGAAAAGAAAAGTTCAGGCATGTACTTATTTTGAGGGAAAACGAGAGTTAAGACTGGCTGAGAGTCAAAAGTCTGGGTGCTGTGGCAAACCACACAGCAAGCAAATGAAGAAGAGACCTGTGGAAAGTGGAATGGCATTAACTTTCTAGTGCTGGAGTGTGAGGATACTTAGGAAAAACAGGGATAATTAGACTGGGGAAGTGTGGGAGCTGCTAGGACTCACTGCATGGTGAAGATTTTCTGTCAGTATGCAGAAATGAGAAGAAATGCATGCAGCTTGAACCTTTGCTTTTAGATGCTGGGAGGCTGAGATACAAACATACCACTAATCGAGGGGGGGATTGTCGAGAGGTCAATGGACAGGTAGAAAGATATTTAAAATCCAATGGCAGCAGGGATAACAACTGCTCCCCGACTCTGCAAATATCAGACACAGTCACTACTATCAAAACCAAATGGTGTTTGTTCTCTTAGCTACGGAGGAGAAATAACATTCGTCCAGCAGTGAAGTTACTGTGACTTTGGAGTCTCAAGCATTTATCAGTGGGCTTGGAAATAATATAAACCTTATCTCCTCCTTTAAATTAAAAACAAAACAAAAAAACCAGATAACTTTGCCCCCTGAAGACACTACTATCCTTATTGGGCAGATGGAGTGGACAGGCTACGTGCCTGTTCTTCTTCAGGCACTTGCATCCTTGCTTAGTGGAATTTCACAGGGGCTGTTCCTGCAACCTGGGACTCGCTCCCTGAGGAGCTGCAGTCCCTGGGACGTGGGAGCAGATGCACCCTCCAGTGGTTAGCTTGGCTTATTATGTGCAGTAGGAACCTTAATGTATTTTGCTTCACCCTCTCTAAACGCATTTGGCCAGATTTGGATGGCAAACTCATGGCCCTTCCTTCTCTGACAGCAAACTATAGACCTATGCTCTGCAGTAGGGCAGCACTTCCTTCCAGATATTCAGTTAGCTACCTGTAGCCTCCTCACAGAATACAAAAATGTTGTTAAGGAGTGTTTAGCACACAAAAGGTCCTCCCCTAGCATGCAGTTTTATTTCTCCAGTATAAAACAATGTATTTCAGCCTCTACTTTAACATCCTGAGCACAAGGCATTAGTGAACACACAGATTTAGTGAGTTGCCATTGCTGCAGGTCATCTGAGGGATCCTTCCTTGCCACAGGAGTGTTATGCTATCTACCACCTGCATGGAGACGGCAGCATGGTCCCAGCAGGGTCTAACCTCCACTCAGCACTGCTCTTCTGCTCAGTGTTGGAGGGAAATGCCTGCCAGGCAGATTGGTAGTTACAGCTAAGGGAAGCAGGAAAGGCAGCAGCTGTCAGGTGATGCTATCCGGAAAATAATTTTTACTCAGAATATAAACCAGTAGCTTTCATACTTTTGGAATGCATGGGCTGGTATTCTGGGGTATTTAGAGCTCCTAATTAGAGGAATCCTAGAAAAAAAATTACTTCTGCCCCTTGGTTATTCTACTTGCATAGATTGGCTTCTTTGCCCTAGTAGAAGGCTCAAGGTAAGGTAAAACCAAGTCTCTGTGCATTTTCAGAGGTTGAAACCAAGGCAATATACATTCATATGGCTTCACAGAAAGCACAATAACTCCACACGATCCCAACACCATACATCCTACCCCTTCCACTGACAATTATACCAATATGGAAAGTGTCAGTGAAGTTCCCAGTGTTGTTCCCTGAAGAAGAGTGGCTCCAGCCCAGCCTCCCTGAACTGAGCACAGGGCACTGGACCCACCAAAGTCAGCAGAAGGTTAACTCAGAGCACAGTGATTCCCTGTACTATGGATTACAGACAGTTGGATTTTGTTTCAGTGATGAGCTTCAAGTACAGCCAAAAGTGAAAAGAGGCACGTTGACCTCATAGCTGTGAATGCAGATTGAGCGTCCAAGACAATTAAAAGCATAAAGCACACACCATCTCTAAATCCCTGGCAAATCAGTGCTAGAAGTTACCGCTGCCGCGTCTGCCTGCGAAGACTTTAACACCCTCTTCATAGAGGTTGGAAGGCAGCCATCCCCAATGAATTACTTACAGGCTCTGACTAGAGGCAGGCTGGCTTCAGCTGGAGATTTACACAAGCCTCGTAATCTAATAGTAGAGTTTACTTTATGAGAGTGCCACACCAAAGATAGTAAAATGCAATTTTCACTAACAAATCTACATGCTTCCATGAAAAAGCTCCAGCCATCACAGAACATGTCAGCGCTGCTCAGGGCCTCACGCAGATTTATAGTTTCCAGTTTATGGTTGAAGAGTTATTGTTAACTCCATTGTTATAGAGTTATGGCAATTAAAAGCTCCAGTCACACTTATCATTTTAACCATAACTAATAAAACCTAATAAATTCTGAGACGTGATGTGTTTTCCTGCAATGCTAAACATCTGCAACCATTTCACACTGGACTTTTGAACTGCTAAGCTAGATTTTGGGAATAAATTGGCTGTCGTAAGCTTCTTTTCCTTTAATTTGCTTGGACCTGCACAATTCCTCACAGTTTTTCTTTACTGTAGTAAGATGCAGAGCAAAGCAATGCTTAGAAGTTTTCCCTTGTGTATGCAACAGGTGATTGTAAGCAAAGTCCTCTATCTGTTTAATTAAAGAGTCACCTTTCAACTTTTTGCATTTCTTGTTTTATAAGAACACTGTTTTTGTTGTAGAAGGATAAAATTCTAGGGCTTTCCTATGAGTAATGGCTTTTCTCTTTTCTCTCAAAACTTTAAGAACATTTTCCAGCTTTTCTAGAGGTGGCCACTGACAAAATTCAGAGCATCTGAAGTCATGTGTTCGGAAACAAGGTGCAGAATGAGGCAAAGGACCTAGACAGGTGGACAGAAAATTGTTACCCAGCATATTTACTAGCATTTTGTCACCTGGCCTCCTCAGCCTTGCAATGAAGACATTTGGGATTCCACTTCTATAGACAGCATCACTTATCTCCGTTATTTAATTCTTCAAGGTTGGTCTTAAGACTCAAATACCATTAACATACAGAGATTCTAGTTCCAGGTCAGTCTGTTATCATAATATCTCTCTATATTGCAAATGGTATTTCTTGAGACATAATACCCAGACAGATAAATTCCTCTTGCAGAAGCACTGATATTATAAACATCTGAATATATATACATATATATATACATATGGGGAAAGCACACAAAAACCCCTCATATTCATCAGAAAACAAAATTAGAGTTTGCACCTTGCAACAACTGGAACAATTGGGAATAAAGCTCTGTGTACTACAGAAAGAGTTTTGCTATGTTTGAGATCACACCATGGGTTAAGTGTACAGGGAGAAGAAGTCAGAAAAACAACGCGCGTGATCTGGAATAGAGATTACTGAATGGAGGGGTGTGTGTGGCACTGAGAACCAACATCCCTCGGAAGACTTTGGGAGGCTGAGCACAGAAACTAGAAACTCCTGCAGTACTAAAGGAGCTCAGAAACTTCAGGCAGGCTGAACACATTTCATCCCTGACCGTATATCTTCCCATCCACAAGAAAGAAGCAAAACTATGTGCCAGGTGGGATGCACCTCAGCTGGAGCGCTCACTGTGCCTTCCCCCAGTGGCAATACTTAACCCACAGAGGCTGCAGGTTTCACTTAACCAGCAGCTGGGAACACTATGATTTTATACTTAGAACGCTCAATTTCTGCATGAAAGAACACCAAACGCACACGCCCACATCTCCTCGCAGTACTGAAAGCCCATTGTCTGCTACAAACTTGTGCATCAAAGATAAAAAAGAAAGAGAGTTTTGTTAGGGAAAAAAAAAAAAAAACAACAAAAAACTTACCAAAAATAACTGAAGTTCTCTAAAGTTGCCCTGAAGTTGAAATAGCCCAGAACACCAGTGCAGAGCCTGCCTTAAACTCTCTCTCTTTCTCACTCCCCTCTCTCTCCAGCAATTGGAAGGAGGGCTGTTCTGAAATTCAGCAAACAATTTTCCTTCTATGTCAACCGGGGCGTTCCTCCACGGGCAGAAAGGGGATGGCTAAGCCTGGGTGAGGCTTGTTGCTCTCCCCAAGCCAAAGAGCTCTGTCGCAGATTACACAGGCTGTGAAATCCAATCCCTTTCTCTACTAAAGCAACAGCTGTACTGCTTCAGCTGGGGCAGGAGCGGCGCGCAGACCCAGGGCTTGCTCCCGAGTGAGTTTTCCATGGTGGGGGTAAGCTCTGTGGGTTCTCCCTGCTTGGTGCCTACAGCTGCAGGAGCGAGCACTCGCAGGGTGGAGGTACGGGGCAATTTCCTCGTGACCAAGAGTATATGGGATGTGGGCGCTGGTGCAAAACAAACATCTCTTTTCCTGAAATTCATTCCCAGCCTTGCTTCAGGACATAAGTGGGTAATTAACATTATATGTATTAGTAAACTCTCATGCAAGCATGCACACAGGCAGGATACAGTCTGTCACAAACAGCACAGTACGAATGGGTTTCAAGGCTGCTCCTCTGTCCTCTTCACATTATTTTTTTTCTTCTTCTTCTTTTTTTTTTTTTTCCCCAGCAGTTTAATTCTTTTCCCAAAAGCCTGAACTGAGAGCTGACAGACCTTGCACCACATTCAGTGCTACCATGATTCACAGCTTGGGGTGCCAGCACACTTTGCAACACCATCACACACACAAAGCCACTCAGCACAAACAGAAACTGCTTTACTCAAACTCCCAGCTCTCCTCTCACCTGTTGCTATTTCCCCACCCCCAACAAGGGCAAGGAATTCATAACACAGCTGATTTCTCCCTCCCCATCTGAGGAATTCTTCCCTCTTCAGATTACACTTCCCTGAAGTTTTGAAAAATCACAGCAAGAGGTCTTAGTTGAGGTTTCCTTGTTTTGCAGAAGTGTTTGCCTGTTTGTTTGCATGCTGTCAGACAGATGAGAGGTGAAGGGGTGCGAAACACAAATAATACATAATCAGCCCTGGCTGCTTTGCCAGCACACTGAAGCAGGATATGAACAGGTAAAATCCTATACCAGCTAAAGAAACTTGTGTTTGCTGATGGGCTGCTTTCATCTTTTGGCAGATATGCTGTGGATTTTTGTGCTGTTGCCTGTGAATAGATTTCAGGATCTCAAGTTCTGTAGGTGCTATATTTTCAGACCCAGCTTTAGAAGGGGTGCACCCCATTTCTTCAGTGGGCACACTGAAATTGGTCAGTGAAAGTCAAGGGTATTGCTCAGCTTCCTATCACAAGAGGATGCTTAACATGGGCATTTTGTACAACTGGGTCTTAACAGAGCTACAGCGTTTATATTATAGCCAATTCTGGAAAGAATTTTGTTAATTAATACAGACTATTATATATTAGTTATTTAAGATTACATATATAGGAAAATCAGTATTACATATAATTTTCTTTAATACACAATTTCTCTGCGTTTGAAGTAGACAGTGTTTCATATTATTATACTAATATATAATGTATATAATAATTATATGATTAGTTATGATATAGGATACAAATATATATAGTCTATATAATCTTATACAATTAATCTAAATGTCACGTGAGGCACAACCCAGCTCATATGCAAGCAGTATTTTCGCGTGTGACATCCACATTCATGAAACAGAATAACTCAGTGGGCTGCAGGCAGTGTAGAGAGGCCTGGCAATGAAGGAGGGAAGAGAGGTGAGTGTGGCAGTGCAGGAGACCCAAGGTTCCTCGCTGTATCAGGCATCAAGCAAGACCTCCTGCAGCTGCTCCTGGGATGGAGCCTCCTGAGCTTCAAGACCTCTAGAATTCAGCTCGTTTTTTGGCTTGTTTTTCTAATATCCCCATTTCTACGCTCAGTCATAGAATCGCGGTATCATTAAGGTTGGAAAAGATCTCTCTAAGATCACTCAGTCCAACCATCTCCCCATCTCCACCACGCCCACTGACCACATCCCTCAGTGCCACATCTACACGTTTCATGAGCACCTCCCAGGGTGATGACTCTACCACCTTCCTGGGTGATTACAGTCCATGGAATTATACTAACATTCAAACTTTCTGAACCATCTTTCAACATAATCCTGACAAACAACATACATTTTTAGAAACAGACATGCAAATAAGGAGCCCAGCCTGACACGGTGGTTCGAGGCAGAGACAGTTTGTTTGGATGCAGAAATTTGGCACCCACCTCCAAAACCAGAAGCAGCACTTCAGCAGGCTGCAGACCCGTCAGAATTCAGAAGCACTGTGTTCCATCCCCAATGTGTGCTTTGTTTAAACTCATTGCTGAATATAATATATACCTGACAGCTGCCTTTCAATTTCTGAAGGGGAGCTAAAGGAAAGAAGAGGACAGATTCTTTATCACGGTCTATGGTGATAGAACAAGGGGAAATAAAGAGCTTAAAGAGGGTAGGTTTAATTTGGATATAAAGAAATGTCTCTTACAGTGAGGGTGTTGAGGTACTGCCACAGATTGCCCAGAGGTGGTGGATGCCCATCCCTGGAGACTTTCAAAGTGATGCTGGATCAGGCCTCAGGCAATCTGATCTTGTTGTGCATGTCCTTGTTCATTGCAGGGGAGTTGGACTAGATGACCTTTAAGGATCCCTTCCAACTCTGAGGATTCTGTGATTCTATATTGATGGGTGTTCCTTCAATCTTTCCACTATTTTTAAAGCCCGCATGAGACAAATGCATGGCTAAGTTGACAGAAGCCAACTGTTTTTTCCATAAACGTGGAAGAAATTTTTATGTACTTTTTTTTTTAAGGCATCTACATTCATTGTCCCTGGCTTTTTTCCAGTTTCAGCTCAGGACTGAATGCGTAAGCACTGACATCTGAGCGGTGCCGTGTTGCTATAACTCTACAGAATGAAACTCCTATAGTAGAGATTTATCCCCACATAACTCGAAGCCTAAAATCTTTTCTCTTGCCAATCAGTAGAAGATCCATATGGTGGAGTTTCAAGACTATGTAAGTGTTTTATCTTTATCGACTAATGTGGATACACTATGCTCACTTGATTTATCTGTAAAAAAGCAACAGAGTAGCACAATCTTTATCAAACTTGCCTTCTGAGCTACTAAAAACATTATACCAAGCTGATCATTTTCAGTTCTCCAAACGATCCTACCACAATAGAACCAACTAATTCACCAGGCATACTCCAGGTATCTCTTCTTATTTACTCTTTGTGACAGATATCTAAATATTAAGAGAAACTCTAAATTATGCTGAGGCAATACTGAAAGATCTTTTCTGCTCTGTTGCCTTGCCGGGGAGTACAATTAATACAATTATATCTTGCATTTCTCTGTTCCACCTCTAGCCCTGTTTTACAGCTCCCTGTATTACAAATTTGTTTTCTTTCCTTGGTTCAAAGGTGAGAATACACAATGGAATGATATAAGCTTGCTTTTATTATTGTTATTCACACCCTGACTTGTGAATGGATTGATAATAAGCCTGCACATAAGGGCGTGATGCATTATTAGTAATTGAGAAAGGAGAGGAAAAACAATGAGAATTTTCTTCTTTGTCCTTTGTTCTAAAGAAACGGAGACAGGATGTTCACAGAGACTACAATAAAGCATGCTCTGAAACACAAATTCATGCACTTTTTCATGGAGGATGTAAGGATGATCATTTCCATTCTTCTTCCTCTTTAGCAATTTTGACCATCAAGAAATTTGGGAGAAAAATCGGAGGTCATCAACTTCCTCAAGGGTAGCAGAGACCAGCTACATGAAATGGACTCGTTAACTCAGAAATGATTTAAAAATTTGTGGACCTCATCTTTGAAGGGAAATAGGCTGCAAAGAGGAGAAACTGGAGAAGTAAAAAAAAGGAAGGTAAAACCAAGATCAGTGTGAACAGAAGGTGTAGAAAAGGTGGATGTCAGACAAGCCATGAAAGGAATGAATAGATGTCTGTGGATTGGGCCACCAGCAATCAGATCAGCCCAGAAGAAGATAAATATCACTGTAGTCACTGACTTGTAGACATCTTTGTCACCCATGATTCTACATGTTATTAAGACAAGAGAGTTTATGTATTTTATAATCTTGAGGTTTGAAGGAAAAGGATACATTAGCCAGCCACACAGATTTCCTCTGAATTTCTTCTCTTTTGCAGTACATCACCCATCAATTTGATTGATTTTCTTTAAAACTTTTTTGCATAAATCTCATCCATCTACAGGTAGGCATATAACCTAAATAACCTATATAACCATAAACAGAGAGAGAGCCAGGTATGGAAATGAGATTTCATCACTGCTCCCTTTAAGAAGCCTTGGTGTTGAACTCAAAGACCTCATTCTAGAGCTAGGCAATACAAATTCCCCCCCTCCAAAAAAAAATGAATGGGTGTAATTCACATGTCTTGTAACTTAACTGGAATCTGTCTTTGGAACAGGTTAGTCTTGTGCTTTTTATAATCTTTTCATCTGAGAATTCACCCAAAAGAAGCTCCACTGTCTACCTGCTCTTGGTGGGCTCTACCAGCACTGTGTGTTGCACTGACAGCAGGTTGGAAATGCAAGTATTTCGTGTAGTGACAGGTTTCTCCTCTGTTAAGAAAAACACACGTCAACTCCACAGTATCTGGGGTGGAGAAACTGAATTTGGGCTAAAGGAAAACAAATCCAGGGAAGAATTGTGCATTTTCAGAAAGTCATATGTTTTCTTCTGGGATTCCTAAATGTATATTTTTTAATTGAGTGTTAATATTCTTGCTGATGAGGAGAGAAAAAAATTAAGGAAGCAAAAAATGCTGATCTGCAAGTGTAAATAAAAAACTTTGCCAATAACAGAGAAAGCATTGTTTAGAAATGAAACATGAGACAATTCCAAGACCAATCATTTCATGAATAGGAGAAAATGAAAAAGGAGTAGAAAAGGGAAACCAATTCACTCTAGAAAGCTTCTTTTACTTTGTCCTG